GGGGGCCTCTGGCTTCGCAGGAACGGGCGCTTGGATCCAGGCCTGGGGAAAGCACAGACCTGCAGTCACTCAGGGTGCTAAGGCAGCTCGCTTCCTACCATCTGCAGAGCAGCAAGCAGTAAAGAAGACACCCGCACGCCCCGTACGCCTCATGGCATGTCTCACAGCAGCCTGGGTGAGTCTGAGGGTGCCAGGAGAGCTGCCCTGCAGGCAGAGTTCCAGCATGGGGACGGTGTCACGTCAAGGCTATCACAGAGTGCCCTCGGCGCCCGGGACGTGCCAAGGCCCCTCACCCACCCTTCTTTCTGTGCCTAGCTAGGTGCCGGGTCCTGCAGCTGCACCGGCTCAGCCCAGGGGCGAAGCTGCCCGCCTCCAGCCCCTGCGCTCCGCTTACATAGCGAGCGTCCGCTGTCCCTTCGGGGCGCGCGGCGCTTCCCCGCACAACACCCCACAGCGAGCACAACCGGCCTGCTACCTCCCGCGCGCTGCTGGCGCTTCCATTTCTCCTTACTCTGGATAACAAACGAGCTGCACGGTAATTACCGTCTCCTTTCAGATACACCGGGAAGGGAACGAGACATCATTTGCAAACCATTTTGGGTCTGAACCATTCATTGCACACTCGTTACAGAAGCAGCAAAGCTGCAATAATGCTAAAGGGATTTGCAATGGCTTTTGTAGGGCTCCCATCCTAACAAATCACCTCATTTACTTACGCGCCGGTCTGGCCCGCCTGGGGATTAGCCACAGAAACCGTCAGAACTGCTCCGGGGCTGGGTTTCACTTGCCACCTGCCAAGACAGGGAGATGTATCCAGCTTCGATTCAAGCGTGAAAGAGCATGTTGTGTTTGCAGCATGCCTTTGTTCACCAATTACCTTCTCATCCTTGGTGGTTTCCCTTCTCCATTAGCATCCATCTGCTGTGAAATATATTAAAAAAAAACCAAGACTTGAAGAATTAGTTCTCAGAAACAATGATTCCTTTTCCAGTATTTAATTTTGTGATCTGAATAGCTCTTTACTTGCATGTTGTCAAGCAACTTGGTAATTTTGGGTTTCCCGCTGGCACAGAAATATGTATGGGGTGTATGGGGTGGCTTTACTTTGCCCTGGTTATGCTACTGTATAAGCTGCAAGGTTTACTCTTATCCACCTGCCCAGGTTTTATTTTCCAGCTGCCAGAATATTAAGCTGCATCAAAAATTGCCTGTCCTGCCTGTCCTAGTATTAATTGCTAAAGTCTCCCAGTTACTTTTGGAAGCAAAGACACAACACAAAGACACAAAGGCTGGTAAAACTGAAGGCTTGTCACCATCAGCAGGTTGCAGAAAAAAGTCTCGATACTGACCCCTCTCTGAAAGTTGGCTTTGGAGAATCGCTGCTGCATCCGCTTCTGCTGGAAGGCTGGTCCCCTATTTAGCAGGAAAGGCCTGCTGGTAAAGGAAAGAGAAAAGGACGTAGGTGAATATGATGCCAGGTCTCTCCTAAAGTTTAATGCTGAAATACCTAACCCAGTGTGGTATTAAAAAGCAGTATGAGAAGCCAATGAGGCTGTGTGTTACCAAGTTCAGCCCAACAGGTTTTTCTGCCAGCAAAGGATTTCAGAGGAACTTGTTTTTCTGCTCAAATGAAACAGCAGCTTGTGTTTGTTCCACACACTGCTCATTAAAAAAAAAAAAAGTAAAAAATCACAGAAGAAAATTGTAGGAAAAAATCTGGTCAGAAGGGACCTCTGGAGGTCATTCAGTCCCTGCTCCACTCAGAGCAGAGAAAGGTGGGATTGCAACGGGGCTTCCTTTCAAGCTCGGAGAACACAAGGACCGCACTGAGACAGGCACCGAGACTGCGCCCAGCGCCTGGCAGCCTGCCTTCGTCACAGCTCCTGGGGCGCAGCGTCTGCTCCTGCAGCCCCTCACCGGGACAGACTCCTTCTCCCTGCCTGTCCCTTACGGCTGGAATCCGTACTTCCTGCCTTTGTGAAAATAAATGTTATTTCACTCTTCAAAAGTTTTTTCCAAGTGACAGAGGAAAAGTTTAATAAAAATACAAAGGTCACATTTTCCATGCTTTCTAAAATAGAATGACAGATCTAATACCTGAATTATTAACTATCAGCATGAGGTGGTTTTATTTCCAGGTGCTTGCCTAACATATCCCTAACGTTGCATGAGCCCATGGCGGTAGCCACTCCCAGCTTGCGCAGACTGGGAGCAGAGCCCCCCAAGGAACTGCACAGGAAATCGCTGAAAACCAAAAAAGGCTGGAGTTACCAAAGATTTTACCTTCTCCCCAGGGCGTGGGTGCTGGCAGCAGCTGCTCTGAATCTCTTGGGGCCTGGAGGTGGCCGGCGCCGTCCGTCTGGCTGCCCGTTGCTGCTGGTTTTGGCGAAGGCATCATTGTTCTTGTTGCCCTGAAAAGGCAGTGAGAGCTCAGCAGTTGCCACCCGCACCACAATCTCAGCGTGCAAAGAGGGAACGAGCGTGAGGGACAGCACGCGACCGTCCTTCCTCTGCCGACCGCTGCTGCCTGAAAAGCCAGTGTATTTATTTGGCATTTTCTTCGGCTCTAGGGGGAATCCAGCCTGCTCTGAAGTGCAGGCGGTGATTGCTGACACCGCAGCGGTTCCCTCACTGCTCTCGGATGAGTTCACCGCCACCTGCAGTTGCTTCAAAGGGGGCTCAGCCCCCCGCCGTGTGCTCTGCATTCCCCCCATTCTCATTCCCAACTGTTTTTCCTTTGCAACTTTTGCAGTCTTGCAACAGATCAACCCTGCTCTGCAAGTGCTTTTTTTTTTTTTCTCCTTTGGTATTTTCTTGATGAGAAACCAATCCCTCACTAAATCTATCAAAACCTGGTCTCCTCCATGGTCTTTTGTCTCCACAGCACAAATATTTCTACCCAGCAGTGTTGCTGTAGTCTCAACATTTGGACTTAGTTGACACTGTTGTCAACAACCAGTACGTGTGTCTCAGTTCCTAGGCAAGAAACTACAAGTACCAGGAGGAATGTTTCATTCTAATGGTGCAGGAATACCAAAAAAAATTAGTCCATAGAGGGCAAATCTTGCACAAGCCAAGCGTTATAGCTTTGCTCAGGTTTCTTTTAGGTCATTCACTCTTTCTTGTTTGGACACGTACATTGTCCAGTCCAAGAAGCATGAAGCACATCAGAAGACCCCTCAGCAGCGTAGGTCCTCCTGCAGGTACTTGCACAAACGGCCACAGACTCGATGCCATTTATTTCTGTGGGACAACCACCATCACTGTTACTACCCACTAACTGAGGTGTGTTTCCATGTTCTTCCCTCTTGGTTTATTTCTGCAAAATGGAAGCTACTGTAGAATTATGCCTCCTAGCAACTGCTTATTACTTTTTGTTAATACCCAGCCACACTCAGTATCTGAGTCATCATAGTCTTTATTTTCAGCAATAACCACCCTCCATGCACATGCATGCTTAGTTTAGGGCTCTCTTATTTATACCCCTAGGACACAGCCATTTAATGTGCCATCATATTCACCACTTTGGTGTTTTTTTAAAAGCCTACTGCATATAAGTGACCTCCTAATTGAGTGGATTTCCATCAGTGTGGAAAAAAACAACCCTCTCTCACAGAGGACACTATCTATCCGCTTGATTTCCACCTTTTACACCAAGCCAGTTTAATATTAGTGACACTCAGAAGAAAGCTGTAAGAATTACTTTAATGGTGAACACATACCTTCCTTACCATCTCTTGAGTCTTAAAAATAACTCAAAAACCAAATGAAAATACTTCCATCTTTTTTTAAAGTGTTTTTGAGCACAGACAAGGCCTCAACATTTAGACTTTAAAAAGGGGAAGCTATGAATGAAAAAACCCACATTTTACACTGAAACACATGGGCAATCTGACCCATGGCTGTCACAGGACTGGGAATCGGTGTCTTGGGCGGGGGGATACCCACTTGCTAGTGAAAAGTATGTCTCTGAACCAAAGCCACCTGAAGTCAACAACAGTCCTTTGACTTCACTGGGCCTTGGAAAGTGCTCTGGGTGGAGGAAAAATTATGGTGAATCTTAACATACTTCCTCTAAATGATAACAGTAACATGAGATGACATGGAATTTTTTTTATAGAAATATTTTAAAATCTTTCAAGAACACATTTTTTAAAAATCTTTTTTGTAAAACTCATGGGAACTGATTCTGTAAAATTATGCCAAGTCATAAGCCTATAAAACCAACTGGAAAATTGCAATTTTATATGCATATGTGTCTGTACTCACCTATGCATACAAATGCTGTGCACAGGCATATGAAAGATGATGCCTGTAAATTTTTTATGTAGATTGCTCTTTGGGGTGATCCAGGATCATAAAATCCATCAGATTTCTACATGACGTTTGGGAACAACTGTACCTTCCTTACTCCCCTACCTCTTGAGCTGATGCCTGGCGATTTAAAGGGCTCACTCCATTTAATGCAGCAGCTGCTCTTCTCCTGGGACCAGGCACAGTATTCCTGAATTGTCTCCGATTGTACTGTTGTTGTCCGAACCCTCTTCTAAAACGGTTAGGTCCTGCAAAAATAAACTGTTATTTTAGCATCCTTCAAAACTCGATTTATGATTACAGTTTTACAAATGGATTACAAGGTTAACTTAATATGATATAGGAATATCTATATAAATAGTGATGCAAGAAGCATATTCATTTATTCCCGAAAAGTAAATTCATTTTGCAGAATATTAAATAATTTCTCTTTCCAATGTCTCACTAACATTCTTGTTACGTGTAGGACTGACAAACACATTATCTGATTTGAAAGAGTATAGAAGAGAAAAGCCTTCCACAATCCCGGTTCCTAATAAAGGCAGGAACACTCGCATCAGGAAACCTGTCAATCTATTGTCAGAGCTTACATTGCTATGAATTAACTGTGAAATGGAAAAAGCCTTTTGATACAGATACGCAAGTGACTCAAGCATCTAGAAGCCAACCCCACAGCAGCCTGGAATAGCTCTGAGTGCCACATTATAGCACTTGATAAGTGAAGACTGGACCATAACTTTATTCTAATTTTTTTTAGCTTGATATATCCTTACTTACTGCATATATATTGAAGGGGGCACCTTCTGCTGCTGTTTTACGTAACTGCAGAGTACATACACACCAACAACCCATCTCACATTTAACGTCTTCCCCTAAGCCTGTTTATGATTTGGAAGTGTGCTGAAGTGTCGAGTGAGAGGGAAGCACTCCGCCAGATGGAAGCACACTGCATTAAAGCCTAATTGCTCCACGTGACAAACTTCTGCACTCATCACGGAGTAGACATTTCTCCGAGTCGCTATGCCAGTGAAACGCGCGCCCATACTCAGAGGGTGTCTAAATCAGGCACGAAGCGGTGCTCGGCGGAGGGCAGCAAGAGCGCGGTTAAACCCTGGACCATGTAGCAGAACCTCACTGGTACAAACCACAGAGCAGTTAGACACATCTATTGATCCTATACCATCGATTCCTTCATCACGGCAATTTATAATGACTTGGAGCAATTAGAAATGAAGTGTTCTGCGGCAGCGGTGACGCTGCTGTCAGGGGCCACCACCGCAGGGATTAACGAAGGCTCCAGCCCCAGGGTGTAACACCGGTCAGCGCGAGCGTGGGCTGGTTACGCTGGAATACGAGGGAAGATGATTTGAGCTGCTCTGGCTCTAAAACAAAAGGGCACCAGGGCACGCCCGTGGGAAGCACCTCCCAAACAGCACGTCGGGTGCTCTGCTCCCTGCGGCCGGAGGTGCTGGGCGGGAGCGCCCACAGAAACACAATGCTGTTCACAGGCTCTGTGGGGCCATTCCCTTTGCAAACGATGCCCTCTCACCGCAGAAACGCAAGTGTGTAAATGCTCCCCTCCTGACAAACACCTCAATTTTGGCAACTGGTGTCTTTTTGACCAGACGTGGCCTCGCTGTGTTTAATGGTCCTTTTTTTTCCCCCCGGTTCTGTCCCCACACTTTGTTTTCTCCTTTCTTGTTCCCTTCAACAACCACCCTGGGCTTACCCCTCTCTCTTGCCTCTTTGCCTGACCACTCTCCTGCGGGCCACCAAGCCTTGCACACAGCCCTCCTGCACCCTGGAGAGGGCATCTCCTCTGCAGCAACACGGACCGAGCTCAGCTGCCTTGCCGGGGTATTTCGGCGGTGCGGTGGGAGGGACTGATGCAAAAGGCAGCCCCGAGCAGAAAATCATGCCCCCGTCAGTCAGTTCACATTAGAGAGCCTCTGCTCAGCGGTGCGCTCAGGCACACCTCAGCCAGCGTAAATAACGAACGTGGAGCCATCCGCCACCGAGGGGTACCCCATGTACGCCAGCTGGGGACCAAGGCCTCGGTCTGTCATCTGTATCCTGAAGTGTGACACATGGGAGGCTCCATCTCTGCAAAAAGTCTGGCAGGTATTTATGAAATGAAAGAGCATTTGAATAAAACCCCACAGCATCAGCAGCTGGGGAAGAGCCCCGCTGTGTTTGAGCGCACGCTCGGAGCCTGGTGCTGAGCACATGGGGGTTTGCCAAGAGGCACCCCTGCCCAGCGAGTCCAGTTTGGGGAGAAGCCCTGATGTCTGACAGGCTCTTTTTCTGAGGAGATTTGAATTTCAAATTTCGTGTCATTAAAAATAATCTTTCCCCCTCCAGGGAGATGGTTTAAGCCATATTCCAGGAGAGATAACAGCACTTCGCTTGCACGGATTCTCTTGCTGGTTTAATCAGCATAATACCCTTCTCCATCCTCTGTCATTACAGTGCTGGGCTGTTCTGATTGTCATTTTGATAATGGTTATCACGTCTCAGCCCAGAAGGGACTGCATTTCAGCAGGGACGGAAGTGAAATGGGCCCCTGAAGAATTATGGGCTAAATTCCCAGTCATGCTGAGCTTCCCAAAATTGCTACTGACATCAGCTCCACACAGCATGGTGGGTCTCTGTGCTTGGCAGGACTAAATTCAGACTCAGTTAAAACCTATGAAATACTAAGACTAGCAGAAATAATTCTATAAATTAATAGAAAAGTTCTCCTTTCTAAGAAACAGCTAAAAAAATATATTTTGTTCCACTTATTTGACTCCGCATGCGGTATTGCTTGAGTGTGGAAGAATATCAAAGCCTGTATTTTTGACAGAAAAATCGATTTGCAAAGGGTAATTATCATCATTCTGTTTTGAACCAGAACGATTCTCAGTAAGGCAATATGTGGTGGACAAGAATATGAGAGTGGGAGGCAGATCAGAGAGAAGCAGGATTGCTCCCAGCTAACCCACTGTCCTGGTGTGCCACTGGCACTCCAAGGGAAGACTGCAAAGACGTTGCTGCAAAATGTCACTAAAATCTTCAATGAAGTGACTTAGCAGTAATTTTTTTAAAAAAGCAAAATTTTGATAAAGATGGATTTCACGCAGCAGATCATTTTGGTTTTGTAGATAAAAGCTAGTGGCACCAAACATAGATTAGTGTGTGATCACATGGTATTACAAAAAAAATCATCATAAAAATAGCATGGTTGGCAAAAGTGACAAATTAGCTCCAATAACTGAGCTATCAAAGACAGTTACTGAAGGGATAATTTAAGTGTGTTCTGGGAGAAAGAGAATTAGGAAGAGGCATAATTAAAATATGCAAAGCCAAAAGGGAATAGAGAATAGATATTAAGTCACTTTGAATTAGTAATTCATGAGAGGATGGAAGGGAGAGAAATGGATGAATTTATGCTCTGAAAGGGCCCTGATATTCTATTGTTGCAGGGATAAAAGCTACTCAGAGCCCAAGTACATCTTATACGCGCAGAGGAATTAGATAGGAGAAGGATTTAAGAGCTGTATTTTGTTACACAAATGTGTTTCCAGCTTGGCAGGGCTCCACCGTCCCAAGGCGCTCACCTACCTTGCAAATTCCTCTGCATCCAGGCACGGAAACGGGGCCGCCCGTACCCATACGCAGAATTCCTGTTCTTGACCTGCTGCCTTCGCCTGTCCCCCGCAGCGCTGGCATCTGTTTGCTCTTTCCTGTGGCGTTTTATGATGTCATCTAGATCGAAATGGCAAAGGGAAACCCATAAAACCTGCACTTTCTATCAACAGCGATTCCCAGTTTTGCTGCTTGCAATTGTCTGCAGTAAAAATGGAGCTTGTGGTTCTGTGAGCTATGCTGGCCGGACAATAAAAGATTAAGCTCAGCTCAGAAAGTATAGGATCAATTTACTTGGCTCCTGCAGGCTGGAGATTTAGAGTGCAGCAAATTATTTAAAAATGTGCTACCATCCAGCACATATCCACCATGTGCAGGACAGAGATTTCAGAGCCACGTCCCACTGAGGGATCCAGTCCTGCAGATAACCCACAAGAGTAAGGGAGCATGTTTTTGCTGGGGCACCAGGAGCTCAGAGCTGGGCAGAGAACATTTTTTGAGAAGGTCTGACTTGGGAGGCTGCGGGAGAGGTGGTCAAAGGGAGGAGAATGGGCACAAGAACCGATGGGTGCATCCACGCTGTGATGGGTGCTCCAAGGGCTTCCCCTGCCATGTGTGGGACAGGGGCACTGCCCCATGCAGAGGACGTGTCCCTGATGTATAAACACCACAAACGCTGTTCAAGTGTCATGCAAACACCAGTGGGATGAATGTCCCTTAGCCCCTGAAGTTGTGAAGGGGTAAACTGAAGCTTGGTGCAGCGAAGGCTGTGACGGGAGGGCTGCAGCGAAGGAACCTCACTTGCACAGGGCGACTGTCAAGAAAGTGGACATCATGGTCCTGCAAATACTCATGGTTCACCAGGCAGTTGTAGGATGGTTTCCTTTCAATTCCCGTCTCCTGGAGTCAGCTACCAGCTGTAAAGCTGGTTGTAAAGCTACCACTAACTGTCTTTTGTCAGTGCTTTACAAAGACGAGCAAGTTTCTAGCCCTTGGTGGTATGAGATGAAGCTTAAAGCCATAAAGCTCTATGGCTCAAAACCCAGTAAGCAAATAGATGCAACATGCACAATGAGTATCAGCAGTACTTTGTATTTTAAGTTCCACAATCTTCAGGACCTGACTCTTGATTTTCTTACTATCTGAGGTAGATGCTCCTGCTTAATTACTCAATATAGCTAACCTAGAAAGAGCTGGATAAGGATGTTATCAACCACAGAAGCAAGAACCTCTTATCTTCTGCCGTTGTCCGGTGTGAAGCAGAAAGGAAGACTATCCCAAATACAAGAGGACTGCGCAGCGGATGCCTGCTCTCCCTTGCAAAACTTGGGTTCTCCCGTATAGACCTGTCTGCACCACACTAAGGGAACCAGCTCTCGTGCTTCATATTGAACACATCAATTCGATCTCCATGCTTGCCCCGCTGCCAGAAGCAGTAAGATATTTTGGGAACCCTCCACAGCTCTCTGCAGACAGGAGGGAGAGCAACCAGCCAGTTCCTGCGCTGCTGTGGTACAAGTGATGGGACCAGGCACAGCTGCCTCTCACCTCTGCGTCCTCATCACCACCCCACCACAGAAGGGGTATAGAACAGCCTGAATGCAGCAAAATGGACCCGGGATGTCCTGCCAATGTCCCAGGACTCCCCTCACCCAAACTTCTTATTAGGCAGCTCTGAAAATGTACTCTACTGAGCTCTTCCAAGAACTGCGAGATGTTTCTCGCTTTCTTTGCAAGACACCATCCAAATGCAGTACCCGAGGTGCAGAGTCTGTATGAAACAACCAATTATTTTCCCTGTGAGTTACACAGTTTTGGTTTAAAACTGTATTAGTAGCACTGAGAAGATGACACAAAATTTCTCCCAAGGATGCCACAGTGCTTCACCAGTTTGGACCCAGCCAAGCATCCCGGGTGCTTCCCTAGGCACTGCTGCTGTAACCAAGCTGCACATCCCCTGAGCTGCACTGACGTGCTGCGCTTTACAACAGAGATAGAACAAGGGACACAAAGGAAAGTGATGATCCACCTGCAGTATCCAGAGTACACCTGACAGGGTTTTGAAAGCTCACGCCCATCCTGAACAAGTGCTTTTAACTCTTTAAAAGGCAGCACTGGAAGTTGAGGTATCTGGACCATGCACAAACTACTTTCAGATGCAGAGCTCTATCAAGAAACAGCAGAAAGCCCCTCAGTTCTCAATGAGCTGGTCTGAAATCAAGGGGATCATCTTAATTCAAGCTGTTCTGATGAAGAGGAAAGGTAAAGGCAAAGGTAGACCTCCTCCTCATTAGTTTATATTTTTCAACAATTTCTTCTTTTAACCTCAAACCTTCCAGAACATATTTAGCAAGTAATACAGGCACATCTGTTAAGCTCCAAGCAGAATGTTTTAACTTTACTTTAACAAATTAGCAGGGAAGGAAGTGTCCAAATCAGGCCTCTTCCAAGGCAATGGCTACTCCAGCTCCTTAATGAATCACTGGAGTGGAAGCACAGAAGTGCCATTAGGCTTTCAATGGGTGATTATCACGAACAGCACATCATACCTCCAGCGCTTGTCACTTGTCATTTTCTATCATGAAACGCCTGTGTCCAAATTAATACAAAGCCCAGGGAAAACAAATGAGAGCAGATGTAACAGGCTGTGGACTGCTTCTGTGATTTCTCTATCGGGTCTGCCAGGAAGACAGCATGCTTGGAGAGGCTGGGCAATGCTCTTGGTATGAACGCACTAATGTTCTCAGCTAAGTGTGCCTTTGGGACATGTGCTATTTGGGGCAAAGACTGCTTTGGAGTGTATCGACAGCATCCCTGCTTGCTCTGCAGGGAGATGGACGCAGGCATCCAAAGGTGGGCTATCTACAGTGCAAGGAAGAGCTCGCTAGGAACAGAGAGGAGGTGCTCAGGTGCCCAATCTGTCACCTTTCTGTGTCTTTTTTTGTTTGGGTATGAGTTGTTACCCTGTCTCTTGCACTCATAAATATGATGGGGTTAACAGTACATAAGGCTGTAAGGGATCCTGAAAGGTCATTTAAGGTACCTCTATGCCCTCAAGACAGAATTAGATCTATCAGGGTGGCTTTAGAGTAACTCCTGCAGTTTCCTACAACTACTAACTCCAGTAAAGGCCAAATGTATCTGAAAGCACAGAAACAAGCACCTGATGGTAAAAGTATCAGTTCTTCACCAGGGCTCTTGTTTTCCAGTTCCCTCTTCTGCCCTGTGCAAGGTATATTCTGGATTGAACACAGAGGTGGACCACAGGAGGTCTGACCAAGGGAGAGCTAAGGGAAAGCAAACAAAGGGAGTATCGCACGTCAGCAAACAGAAAAAGGGTGTGCAGCACCATGGGGAAAAACGAAATGAAAAATTAGGGACCCACTATTGCTGTAAATCCTCACAGCACCATTAAAACAAGGGTGCATCAGCCAAGGGATCAGTTTGAGTTTGCAGTGGAAAATGTTCTGCTATTCCTGACAAGGGGCTCATTGCTGGGAAGAAATGACACAAGGTTTCAGTTAGGAAGATGACCCAATAATAAAAGGTGCTGGTGGGCTTTCCTTCCACAGCAGAGACGTCAACAGGATAATCCACCAAGATCTATCATCCAAACATCAGAGTCCAGGCCTTCGGAGTTAATAAAAGGGCAGTTGTTTATGCGCCGGCCACATATCCAGTGCCAGAGGAATGGCGAGCATCACGAGCAAGCTGCTATAAATAGCCCGCACGGCCGAGGATCTGTCTGCTGTCTGTTCTGCGGCAGAGGGCCCGTGCTCGTAAGCCTCCCCCGA